TATATATATATATATATATTATTTTTATATAGAGTTAGAGAGGTGTATAAGCAGTCTAGATGAACCACTACAACATAGCAACAGCACCAACGCAGTGAGCAGCCCGTACATATACCATTCATAAGAACAACCTAATATACATCACATACTGAATAATGAGCATATGCTCCATAAGACATTACTAAGGTCATGACCACATGACCTGTCCCATGTCAGAAGATTCCATTACGTGGCCGCCCCACACTATAGTCGCTTCTACTGGCATAAAACCAGGTCAAAATGTAGCAGTCTCAGAGTTTTACTACAAAAGCAGAATTTTAACTTTCATATCTTAATCTTTAGTTTCTAATTATAATCTTTATATCTTTAATTTTAAATTTTATTATCTGAGGATTTTTTTTTTAAAATTTTGACCAAGACTTAACATGTGAATTTATGCAGTTAAATCATTTCAAGGCACAATAAGGATCCATATTTGAAGAATTAGGTGATAATTAATTGCAATTCAAAGCTTAAACCGGAGCATTGTATGCCTGATGACGACCCAGCGTAAGGGTCGAAACATGTTGTGTCTGTAAAAACATAATAAAAGCAAATGTTTATGCAGTAGTGTATTCTTTGTTTTTTTAAATACTGAATATTGTTGTGTAGACTGCATACCTTATATACTTTTGTATATCTTAGATATATAATTGTCAAAAGAACATGCAAATAGTATGTGAAAACTATGTAAGATTGGATGTAGTGTTAATGTGTATGGATATGACTTTGTTTACATAACTATGTATGTATGTATGTGACAGTGCTATATCTTTTCTATGTAGGAAGACCAAGATGTAGATGGGTGGATAATATTTCAATGGATATTAGACAAATAGGATGAGGTAGTATGGAGTGGATTGATCTGGATCAGGATAGGGACCAGTGGAGGGCTCTTGTGAACACAGGAATGAACCTTCAGGTTCTATAAAATGTTGGGAAAGTCTTGAGTAGCTGCACACAACTGGCAGCTTCTCAAGAAGTGTCATCTCAATGAAGTTAGTTACTTAGCATGGTAAGGAATGGCCAAGTGATAGTTACAGCCTCACAAAGTGAAATGGTTATTTTGAAACTGTAACTAACCTACTATCCTCCTGTCTGTTGACTTCCCAGCCCCTCTTATTCATGTATTTTTATGCTGACAGCATTATTCAATAACAAACTTTAAAAAAGAAATTGATATTATGTCTTTTGTTATTTTGTAGATGCAGCAACAGATCTGGCACAAATGTCAGAACCTGCTGAGCCACAAAGCACTGAAGATGAAGCATGTGATAAGCAATTAAAGATTAAACCTTCTAGTTCAGATGTGGGAGATACAGAAGAAACAAAATTATCAGATTCATGATTGCAATACAAATGAGGACATTATATTGAAAATTCAAATCACTGAATGCCATACATTTAGCTAGATATTTGAAAATGAAGCGGTCTTAACTGTCAGTTTTATTTTCAACTAGATCATTAATTCAAATCAAGTAAATTGTGAACTATGATAACTAGATACTAAACTATTTTAGTATGTTTACATCGTGTACTCTATTTTCCTGTTGGAAACATAAAAGAGTCGTGGCTTTCCGTCATCATTTTATTAACATGCAAGTAATTTTTGTAAAGCAAAAATAGATCTTTACAATTAAATTTAGATATGTAAGTTTGATTTGTTTCATTCTGGTCTGTCACAATAACAATTACAAATTATAAATCACTCCGTCCAACGTGACCTGTAAGTCTTTTACTGCATAAAAACTTAACACCCTTACATGTTTCGGTCTCTGTGGACCATCCTCAGAGTGATGTGATGTAGTGATGTTTGCCCTCTGAGGATGGTCCACAGAGACCGAAACATGTAAGGGTGTTAAGTTTTTATGTAGTAAAAGACTTACAGGTCACATTGGACGGCGTGATTTATAATTTGTTAGATATGTAATCTGCTAAATTTAGGGTTTATAACATTTGAATGTATTAAAGAGGGGCAACTGAGGAATAATAATTTGCTTTGAAGACAGTTGGCATAAATGTGCTGGGAATGTACAAAAGTCATAATTTTCATCTCTTTGAGAACAATCGTTACGTTAACAACACCATTTGCAGGGAAATATGAACTCTTTAAAAAACTGTATGCATTCAAAATGTGTGTAGAAGCCTCGTTTCATTGCATCCTCATATCTTTGCACCATCCTGAGAGTGAAAGGAAAATTTCTTATTTTAACAGAGTTCTGTTGTAAGTCTGTTAACTGGTGAGCAAGAGGCAAGAAGTCTGATTTTAAAATTACAGTACTATTGTGTTTTGTTTCTGTATTTACAGAACAATAGTCTACTTACCAAGATCATGAATATAGAAAGTTACGTCCATGATTTATTTAATCCGTCTTGCAGTGCATACACTCATTTATCTCCTTCTCTCCCTCGCACTACATGTTTCGGCATAATAATGCCATCTTCAGGTGCTTACTTATCCACGTCAAACCAGTTCATTGCATGCCATGTTCACACATTAAAATAACTAAAATATGTATCTATCATATACATTGTCAAACGTTAAAAATATTAAAATTGTTCAGGATACNAGATACATATTTTAGTTATTTTAATGTGTGAACATGGCATGCAATGAACTGGTTTGACGTGGATAAGTAAGCACCTGAAGATGGCATTATTATGCCGAAACATGTAGTGCGAGGGAGAGAAGGAGATAAATGAGTGTATGCACTGCAAGACGGATTAAATAAATCATGGACTTAAATCAGTGCAACAGGACGCTAAAATATAACAATAGAAAGTTACACTTTTATACTTGCACTAGATAAGAGCATGAAAGGTTAATAAATGATGAAGAACTAGTGATAATACTATGTTACATGCTTAAAGAATTGCAATTAAGTACAATAAATTCAAGTCACATGAAGTATAAGTTTTATTTATTTGCGAAGGATTATGTGCTGTTGTATTTACAAATCATTTAATTGTGTAGACCATCTTTCTTGCTTATATTTATCTTGAAAAAGAAGTAAATGCTAGAGTGATGTCTACTTGGAGTGTTTCAGTTTGAAAATATATGGTGTCATTGTCTTCCAAAACTTCCCCCCCCCCCAACTTTCTGATAGGCTGCTACATGTGGGAGAATGTTGCGTGTAGTTGTTTGAACAACATGTTGGACATTAATAACAAGTTGTAGAAATCCATGTTGCTTTGAATAATCTTTATTTTTTGCAGAGTTGTTCATGTTACCGTAGTATTTATAAGTGCTAGTATTGTTGCAGTTGTTTTTATGTGTGATGCCATATGTACCATCATAATAAAAGAATTAAGTTAAACTCATTTCCTGCATAATATTTTAATTATTTACGAAGCAGTAGAAAATTCTAGTTAAAGTTTGTTGGTCTTACATATAGAATAGGTGTTTTTATATGATAAATTTATTGTAAACAGATGCGTTGTGAATAGACTGTTTAGTTCATATGTAAACACCATCAGTGCATAGTGTTGGTACATAACATTCAGCATTGGTGAAAGTCATTCTGATTACACACATGCACTTCGATAACTCATGATGCAGTCTTCAACACTGAAGCCAGTCATTCAAGCTTCCAATTTTTTATCCTTTTGGAAAAATGTCAATAACAGTACATCTTAATAAACTGTTAAAACCATACTGTGTGTTTTTTCTCCCCCTCATGCTTAAGTAGTGTGGTGAAGTATATAGAGTTTTCTATAATGACTTATAGTTTGCAGCTTAATATTGTTTCTGGTAAGCCATCTATCCTTTCTTGCTTGTTATATATATATTAATGAATTACCCTTTTTGGTGGGATATGTAGTGACATTTTCAGCATCAGATGGTAGAATCAGTGATGAATTGGAAAGAATATGAAAGGATATGGTCATGGTATGATCAAGGAATTATCAGAATTTTCCTGAGGGGACTGAGGAAACCATGAAAACATTAACCTTGATAATTGGTGTCCCAGTCAACATTTGAACTGAGCACCTCTGAATGCAAGTTTGTAGATGTACTTCTAGACCAACATGTTCAGTAGTTATGTAAGATATAAATTATCTCATTCATGTATGCCTCCCTTATGAACTGTTGAAGTTCAGTGAAATTTGATATGAGATATATATGTATGGACCTATGCATAACATTAGTTGACTGATTAAAAAGCCTGCTTTACATAAGAATCTGAATGAAACTTTTTGTTTGTGTCTTAAACTGTTAATCAAATTTGATGTGAGATATTAGTGTATAATGGAAGTGAGCCTTCTTGCTTGTAGTCCTGTTGACTGATTACAAAGCTAAGCACTTACATAATGTTATAATTTAACTTTTGCTTTGTAGACATATAGCATAAACCATGAATCAAATATTTCTCAAATTGAATATGAGGGAGCTGTGGACATCATTAATCAGCTGTTTTGATTTTTAGTCATATTGACCGATTACAAAACCTGCTTTATATAAGGTCTTACATCAGCTTTTTCATGTGTCCCATTGCACAATCCCATCTTCTCTCATTCAGTGATTACCAGTGTCTCTNTTTGTTTTGTCTCCAGAGGAAACATCTCGCATACATGGTATCTTTGTTTTTGGAAAGAGACTATCCAGGAAAAGTGATAATATGGTAATTTTTCCATTTGCTTTCCACATCACAGTACAACAGCCATTCAAACCACTCCGGTCACGCCTGTTGCTATACAAACTTGAACCATCTTGAGCATCATTTGCTCTGTGCTTCAAGTCGCTGCTGATGACGCTGCTTCCGGCATCACTATATATACATATGTATATATATATATATATATTTATTTATTTATTTAATAAATTGGAATATAGAAATATAACCTACATTAGAGGTGGGTGAAAGTGTTAACGGTAAATGAAATATGAAATTAACCTACCACAGGGATGAAGTATTAAACAATACACAGGAAAAAAAAAATGACAAAACGTGTCATCTCTGCTCTTGTGTTCAAAAATCCAATTGTTTGGGAATGTAATGTATCTCATTAGACAAGTGTGGACTGACTGCTTGGATGGGAGGTGGTGATAGACCAAAACGATTTTTAGAACCTCAGGCCAGACAAGGATTTGAAGTCAGTGTCATGGTTTGAAGCTGCTCCAAGCAGTGACTTCAGGTTCCGGAACATTGCCCCATGTAAAGGATGAAGGTAGTGGGGGGAGAGTACAGGTAAGTGGGACCCCACAGACCTTATAAGCTGGAAGATGTGAGCTGGGCCAATACAGAGGCACATATTTCATGCACACAACACAACATAAACTGTTTCACATATTTCACTGTTGTAATCTGAAGCCCGTCTCTTCTTGAAAAGTCACCAGTCACCCAGCTACTTGGGAATTTTTTGACATTTTGTGGAACCAACAAATTCATTACTGTGTTCACAGGAGCCTACCACTGGTCTCTGTCCTGAGCCAGATTTTACCCAATACAATTAATGCTCTTCTGAAATATTGTTTGTAAACCAGCCACAGGTAATTTCAATAAAATGTGAAACTATTACTCAAAATTTTGTGTAGCTTAGTATGGAGTATGCTCTTTCCAAGCTTAAGGGTACTAACATGGTCCTCAACACAACAATCTATGTGTAAACAAAACTAATATTAATGTGTTAATATTGGTTTTTATTATACATACCACTGTATAGTTTGATCAAAGTGATTGTCTTCAGGTGATGTATGCCGCCGTTATTGAATTGTTCGACTAACATGAGTTCATATCAGCAAATAAAATAATGTAAATATTTGAAGGAAGCCTTCTTCTGGGATGTGGCACTACACAACGCCGCATCCCAGAAGACAGCTTTCTTCATAGTCACCACTGTGAAAACCTCAAATCTTACAATGTAAATATTTCTTTGTATTTTAGGAAAAGGCTACAGGAGATGATGATGTACCTGGAGATGTGCTTAAGTTACTGGGAGAAGGTGGTTTGAAAACACTCACAAAACTAATAAACACCATATATGAAACTGGGGAGTGGCCCAAGGACTTTACAGAAGTGACAATGATTGCCTTAAAGAAAATGATAAAAGCTACAAAATACAGCGACCATCGCACAATAAGCCTTATTGCGCATACAGCAAAGATACTTAAAAGAAGAATCGAAAGGAAAATAGAGGATATACTTGGAGAGGATCAGTTTGGATTTAGAAGAGGGAAAGGAACCAGGGATGCAATTGGGATGATGAGAATTATAGCAGAACGAACTTTGGAGATAGATGAAGAACTGTGTG